AAACTACGTTCATTCAAAATATATCCTAATTTTTTTTGCTCCTACTTTAGGAAATATGGAAATTCGATACTTTAACATAAAGCATTAAAATTTCAAGGTCATTTCCTCTGAAGACTATATGATACGACCGAACCACATTTTTTCATTTATCGTGACTTTTCTAAAACAGATAAAACCCTATACTGGCGAAGGTCACTCTACACTAGCCTTGACTGAATTCATTTTTTTTCATTATCTAAATCAGTATGACAGCGTTAACGAGAGTTAAATATAGCACAAAATTAGTATTAATTACAGTGTACAGTTAACTACGTAATCGATATAAAAAAAACACACACAACAACGGTAAACCAGTCCTTTTTCAATGATTTGTAAAGAATCATTCATGTATAAATACAATTCTTACTTTTCTTATCGAGCAATAATTATTATTATAATTATTATTATTATTATTTATATTATCATTATAATTATTATTTATTCACAGTTTCTGCAAAAAAAATGTCTTATTATTGTCCGAAATTATCATTATTATCATTATTACTTTTATTATTATTTATTCACAGTTTCTGCAAAACTTTTTTCTTATTATCATCCGAAAAATATCTTAAATCAAATATTTTATCTGGGGAACAATATTTCTTTCTTTCTGACTGATTTGGTTGATTTTAAGTTAAACGGATGTTCTGAAGGTCAAATCGGCACTTTTAAGACATTATTACCGAAGAAAGACCCCAGGTGTCTCTTCATGCGCTAATCTATACAGGACAATAATACAGCTCTGACAGTTACCGTCTTTAAACCAGGAAAATGTTGCTGTAGTTAACTCTTTTTTTTTTCAAAAAACATTTTCAGACAAGCAGAATTTAGAATGGGTCAGTCAGAAGGGCTAATTATAAACAAAGTAGTTAGCAAGGAAAAGTTTACTTTATGAACATTTCATAGTCTACAGGAAGGGTTCAAGGTGGGTTAATCATTTACACTCATCCCTAGCACGCACACAATTCAGTTTTCTCACCCACACACAAATCAATTTTCTCACCCACACACAATTAAATTTTCTCACCCACACACAATTAAATTTTCTCACCCACACACAATTAAATTTTCTCATCGGCATAAAACAAACATACAACAACAAAACAATGTTTTCTGTTTGTTTTTTTTTATTCTGATTTTAACACATTTTGGACATACTGTATCATGATGGTCATTTCAAAAACTGGCTTTCCCAGATAACTTACCAATAACAACAAATTTCTAAGCATTGGACCAACTTTTAATCCTTCATGACTTTGTAAGACAACAGTGAGAAGAAAATGAAAATTAAGACTTAATGTCTGAGATCTTCTATCCCGGAGAAATTTTGCGTCATTCCAAGTTTAAACTAGCAACCTGACTCTATATAGATGGCAAACACTTAAACCACAATTCATTTCCGGTTCTAACAATGTTAAGGTTTTACAAATGAACTTCAAAATATTTAACGTCATTACACAAATATTAAAAAGACCTTGACACGAGTCATCCTTGTTTACGAGAAGATGAATTTATAAACAGAATATGAATCGTGTTTCAAATATAGTATGAATGAAACAAAAACAAAATGATACAGATATGGTATCGCTTTCATAAGACATATCTCATTATCATATGAATGATATTGACACTCGTACCTTTAATCTAGTTCATAACTAAAATCTCGTTCAAACGTCAAAAGTGAAAACATAACTTTTTCTTTAAATTTTGTTACAAAATTACCATTCTGAAATTAATACAAAATAGTTTAACTTTTATAAAACCAGTATTTCATTATTTGTTATTGTTATTTTGACCTTGAACTGGTAACAAGAGTGCAAAAATCACGATAATAAATGCAAAATGAACACAAACAGAGATAGCACAAAGAAGCGAACCTTAATTACGTTTCATTAACAAAGCTGACTTCACAAAAAAACAACAAGTAACTTATGCATTTCAACACCTGAATTTATACATAACAAAAATCAATATCTGTGAATAAACAGCCTGCTGCCATGTGAAAGTCGAGCACAGTTAACGAGTACTGTTATAATACAGACAATTATTCTGATTCAGGTATTACCATATATTGACTTTCTATTTTTCTTATTAATGAGCAGATTTCAGTCATGTAAGCAGTAGGAAACACAGCATAGTTACGAGTTTTAAGCAACTTATTTATTTGATATGAACACATCTGCAGATGTTCTTGCAGAATCCAAAATCAGAAACTATTCATTTTTCATGTCATAAATGTTGGGTTATTCTAAAGCCTGAGTCAGCGGTCAATGACTATAGGAGATTGATTTTATCACTGCCTAGAGCTGTAACGGTTAACTGGTTCACCGGTATACTGGGGTACAGAGGAAATATATATTGCACCGCGGTTCACATTCAGTTATTCTGGTTTTATTTAAAAAGTCTTACTTGGCATTCACTTTCCAACGTAAAATCATCTGTGAGTCAGCACTTTAAAGGAACTTATTTTAAGCCAACAGTTTTTAAATTTATTGCAATGGTGTCTTGTAATATATTGCAGTATGCTTTTTGCCATCTTTTTTTGCAGCACTACCACTGCATTCCATAAAGAGCCTAAAACAACCCTAGCCAGGATTATTTTGCAACTTCGCCGTGTTGGATAATATAAGTTTCTAATTTTTACTATTCATTATTGTAAATAACTTCTTTAACCTTTTCATCACTATATTTGTAGGATGAATTAGCCTGACTTTGAATTGGGAACTGTCAATTGCTATTTTAAAGGGTATCAATATGAAAAGGCTAGAATGCAGCCAGCAGTCGAGTTTGGTCAAAATGCACCTCAAAGTCTGGCTGGACTGCTACATTCACATTGTTTGTTTTTCTGGTGTAAACACCGACTTTAACACATCTTTCAAGTTATATATAATCCCCTCAAATTTTCTAAGTAAATCTAATAAAGGGGAATAACTCTAAGAGTAGGCAAGGCAGACTTATGCTCTGGATAAAATTTAGGACAGATGCACTGATGGCGACCATTTCTAATATCATCCTCTTTGCATTTGGCTAGGGGATAAAAAATGCATATCCAATTCTAAAACTAACTGAAATCCCTAAAATATTTTGCGGACTGTTTCAAATTCATGATGTAACATAACCAGGGCAAGTTCTGTACACATGTTAAGTAGGGTCAGGAGTTAGTCAGACTCAAGTACAAGAAAGTGAGAAAATAATCATCTTAAACAATATGCAAAGTGACTGTGCCTTCAGCAAATATGATACCTATCTGATATAAATACAATTGTTTAAACCTAATTACCTGTATCCAGTTTGAACATGAATAGGTTTGTTGCTGCAGGAACGACTTACAGTATATAAAATCCTTACTTGTTTTTGTTTTTTTTGTTTGTAAAATTGTGGGAAATTCTAACATATATTGGTATATTCATATAAAATCCTTGTTAACAATTTGTTTTTTATTTGTTTGTTTGTATAATGGTGGGAAATTCTAACCGAATATCAAATCTTTACAACAAGAGGTAATTAATTATCTTATAAAAGTTCTTTTGATTCTTTGCCAGTACTTACTTACCTGCTTAAACTTTATATATAACTCATAAATCCTTCAAATAATTATAACCCTAGATTCATTAGTGAAAGACAAAATATGAAAAAAACTTGATGAATTGAAATTTGCCCAATTGCCAGCTAAAGATGCCCTCGAGATTCTACTTTGCATATCAAATTTCCACAAATTGACTCTTTAACCAGTTGTCACTCCTTTCAAATATGTCATAGAATAAAGCAAGTGGGAAGTTCTTTAATGCCCCCTGAAGAAGCAATGGTCATATTGCATGTAAAAGAAACAAGAGGGCCATGATGGCCCTAGATCACTCACCTGAATTATCAAACTCATCCAAACAATTACCTAGACAAGCATTCTGACCAAGTCTCATGACAGGTGAGTCAAAAATGTGACCACTACAGTGTTAACAAGGATTATCCATATTTGAGCAGTGCGACCTAGTTTTTTACCCAGGTGACACATATTCAAACTTGACCTAGAAATCATCAAAACAAACTTTCAGACCAATTTCCAGGATACTTGGATCAAAACAGTAGCAACTAGAGTGTTAACAAGATTTTTCTATTTTTAGCTCCGGTGACCTAGTTTCACATGCGATTTCGAACTCATCCAAGCAATTACCTAGACAAGCATCCTGACCAAGTTTGATGATAATTGAGTCGAAAATGTGACCACTAGAATGTTAACAAGGTTTTTCCATATTTGGGCGGTGTGACCTAGTTTTTCATCCAAGATGACCCATGTTCGATCTTGACTTAGAAATCATCAAAACAAACTTTCAGACCAATTAACAGAATATTTGGATCACAACAGTAGCCACTAGAGTGTTAACAAGATTTTTCTATTTTTAGCTCCTGTGACCTAGTTTTTCATCCGAGATGACCCATGTTCGAACTCATCCGAGCTATCACCTAGACAAACATCCTGACCAAGTTTGATGATGATTGGGTCAAAAATGTGACCTCTAGAGTGTTCACAAGGTTTTTCTATTTTTAGCTCTTGTGACCTAGTTTTTCATCCGAGATGACCCATGTTCGAACTCATCCGAGCTTTCAACTAGATAAGCATCCTGACCAAGTTTGATGATGATTGAGGCAAAAATGCGACCGCTAGAGTGTTCACAAGCAATTGTGGACGGACGACGGACGACGGACATTCACCGATCCTAAAAGCTCACCCTGAGCAAGCTCAGGTGAGCTAAAAAGTGATCAGTTAGCAGTTGTTAGCAGTTTTCCCAGAGTTTTTACACAGCTTCAGCTATCTAACATGCATCCTGAATTGAAAGTTTAAATCAAATGTGTGGGTAAATTCCATTTTCAGTTTCAGATTTTCCAATTTTCTGATTTATCGAGCTATATTTTCCCCTTAGGAAACCACAAGTTAGTTAAGTGCTTAAAACAAAGGAAAAACGTACTTTTGATTTCGCAGATGACCTCCGCATCGTGACACTGGCTCATCGACCCGGTCCAGCTCGAGTGATGACTACACTCTAGAATTGAACTTTCCGATCCGGTGCAATTCACATCATTGATCCGTACTTTTCCTGGGCTTTCACTCGGAGTGTTTTCTGCCCGTCCGTCAACATAGCCGAGCTGTCTACATAGAGTACTGGCTTCCTTGTTACCCCAGTTAGCATTGCAGACGCGGCCCCATTCCCCGTTGTGTTTTACCTGTACTTTACCATACCAGCGATCGGAGAGACGAAATTGTACGCCATCTGAAAGTAGGAACAATAGACTGTAAGTATAAACAAGATTGCATTTGAGAAAAATGCTATGCCACCGCATTAATACAACACTAAATAGTAGTGTATAGAACAGATATTTTTTGTTTTTATACAATTGAAGATTGTCATAATGCATAGATCCCTGACCTATCTAATTCTTATCATCAGATTAGTGGTTGAATCTATTGTTAATCCAATAAAAGATCAGAGTAGGAATATATCAATGCACTTGAGTCTGGTGAATTTTGTGGTGAAGGTAATATTTTCACACAGCCTAAATTTCATGACTCTATCAATGGACAACACAGTAAGACACTTTGTTAAAATCTAAATCCAGCTGATATCAGAGTTCACTTTACATCTTAATCTGTGCACATGGTTCAAATTTCATAGCTGTACATCAAAGGACAAGAAAGTAGGTCACATCATCAAAATCTAGATCACCTGATATCAAAGTTCAATTTTACAACTTTAACTGTGCACATGGTCAAAATTTCATTGCTGTACATCGAAGGATAAGAAAGTAGGTCACTTTCCCCTTGGGCAAGGCAAAATTTTGACCCAAGGGCTTAATTCAAAACAATCTTGATACAGGTCCACCAAACAACATTTCAAGTCAAATATCTAAGCTGTAGCTTTCTCCCATTCAGAAAACATTTGTTTTATTTTCTGTTTTTACTATGTGTACATAATGAGAATTACTGCCCCCGGGCAGGGCCAATTTTGACACCAAGGGAAAAATTTGAACAACTTTGGTAGAGAACCTATAGATGTTATTATATAGCAAAGATCAAAGCTCTATGCCTTGTTCCTTCAGACAAATTTTTTTTTTTTTTTCACTATATGTACATAATGAAAATCAATGACCCCCGGGGTGGAACCAATTTTGACCCAAGGGCTATAATTTGAACAATCTTGGTAGAGGTTTAATTCGCAAAGTCTAATGCCATATATTTAACCTCTAGCCTTTGTCAATTCAGAGAAAGTTTTTCAAGTTTTTACTTGATACATATAAGGAAAACAGTCGCCTCTGGGGCAGGGCAATTTTAACACTAGGGGCATAATTAAAACAACTTTAGTAGAGGACCCATGATATTACATACCAAATATAAAATCTCTAGGCCTTGTACCGTCAGACAAGAAGTCTTTTTTTTACAATATGTACATAGTGAAAATCAATGACCCCTGGGGGTGGGGCCAATTTTGACCCCAGGGCTATAATTTGTACAATCTTGCTAGAGGTTTACTACACAATGTTTCATGCAAAATATCTAACCTCTAGCATTTGTCAATTGCTAGAATTTTTTTTTAAGTTTTAACTACAAGTTTTTACTATATACATATAAGGAAAACCAATGACCCCCGGGGCGGGGCCGATTTTGACCCTAGGGCTATCATTTGAACAATCTGGGTAGAAGTCTACCAGACAATGCCTTATGCAAAATATCTAAACTCTAGGCCTTTTGGGTCTTTACAAGAAGGTATTTTAAGTTTTTACTATATGACATATAGTGAAAATCAATGACCCCCGGGGCGGGGCCGATTTTGACCCTAGGGCTATCATTTGAACAATCTTGGTAAGGGTCTACCAGACAATGCCTTATGCAAAATATCAAAGCTCTAGGTCTTTTGGGTCTATACAAGAAGGTATTTTAAGTTTTTACTATATGTACATATAGTGAAAATCAATGACCCCTGGGGCGGGGCCGATTTTGACCCCAGGGCTATAATTTGAACAATCTTGATAGAGGTCTACCAGACAATGCTTTATGCAAAGTATCTAAGCTCTAGGCCTTTTGGGTCTTTACAAGAAGATTTTTAAAATTTATTCTTAAAATTCCTTTTGGTTTAGATTTCTGCATGGAATGAAATTCTTTGAACAACTTTGGAAGCCCTTCACCCAAGGATCAATCCTGCCAAGTTTGGTTGAAATTGGACCAGTGGTTTTTCACAAGAAGATTTTTGAAGTTCACTATATAATCTATATAACACACACACACACACACAAACAAACAAACAAACACACACACACACGCACACACAGGTGAATCGCTATATGCCACCGCATCGCAGATGCTGCGGTGGCATAAAAATAACAGACATTTTTCTCAATTCATATGATACATGGAGTCAGTTGAAGTCCAAGAAACAAAATATAAGATATTTGTGAAATATGGTAAGAAAAACTTCATTTGGGTTAAGCTTGTACCATTTTTTAATATGCATTAATAAGATTTTCAAGGTATGAAATTCTTTTGAATATCACCACCCTTATGCAATAATTAAATTTTCAAGTTATAAGGGAGTGGAGCAAAGGTTTTGAGTAGTACCCCATTCAGCGTCGCCCCTACACCATCACGTAAGTTCTCAGGTTAACACAGCGGCACATTAATTTATCATATTTTTCAGAAAAAATTTATACCGATTAATTTTGCAAAAAGCTTGACTTACCTTTATGGTCATAGCAAAACACACCAGCAGCCCTTCTGTATCCTTTAGTGATCGGGTACTGACAACCGAGAGCCTCTCCAAATCCTTTGAAATCACAGTGTTTCAGAGCGCCCTCACCACCGGAGCAATTAAACCGACCAACCACCATGGGATCATCAGAGTTACTCACAGCGTAATAAGCGTATCCGCCTGCTTTACCAAGTTCCCGGCAGGCTGCGTCGGCTTCCAAATCGGTCCAGTCAAAATCACAAATTGGTCCCCAGAACCCATACTGATTAGCTTCCAACCGGCCATAGCTATATCCATCTTTAATTCTGATTTCTACACATTCTGGAGTGGGAAAAAAACAAACAACGAATTTTTATTTAATTTCACCGAATAAATATTTGTCATATTATACCTTATTTATTTTTTGAAAAGAACTATGAAATACAACAGGCCTTGACATTAACTTTTATATTTGGTTGTCCTGTCAAGCAAGTACTTTTGATTACAAATATGAAAGTGGGCGGAGTCAAAATTCATATTTATTTACAGAGACTACTTTCTAAGATGTTATTCTCTGACAGCCACTACAGTCAGTTTAATCATTACATCATAACAAATTATAACAAGAGCCATGTCAACATGGCCATCCCCAGCCGAATGTGTTTGCTCATTGGAAGAATGTATATGTAGTAGAGCAGAAAAATTCCATTTTAAGAGGTCTTTTGGTAATGAAAACTGATGGCTATAGTGATTACAGATTTGAAACCTATGTGAATACTGATGGCTGAAAATAACAAAGGGCAATAACTCAAAAATAATGCAGGGTAGGTTATCATCCTTGTGTGCTGCATCCCTCCTCAGTAAAATCTATCCACCTATGATGTTTCAAGTTGATACCTCAAATACTTTTTGAGAAAAAAATTGAATTGAAAAATTAAGTATGAAAAATAACAAAGGGCAATAACTCAAAAAATATAAAAGGTACAGTTATCATTCTTGTGCAGTGCACACCTCCTAAGTGAGATCTATGCACCTATGAAGTTTCATTTTGATATCTCAAAGGCTTTTTGAGTTATGCTCTGGACAAAAATTAATTTTGAAAAATAACAAAGGGCAATAACTCAAAAATAATGCAGGGCAGAGTTATCATTCTTTAGCACTGCACTCCTCCTCAATGAGATCCACCCACCTATGAAGTTTCAAGATGATACCTCAAATACTTTTTCAGATAAGCTCTGGACAAAATAGCATGAAAAAAACAACAAAGGGCAATAACTCAAAAATTGTATAGGGAAGAGTTATCATTCTTGCGCACAACATTTCTCCTCAATAAGATCTATCCTTCTATGACATTTCATGTTGATATCTCAAACACTTTTTGAGTTATGCTCCACTCAGGTGAAAAATTAGGTATGAAAAATAACAAAGGGCAATAACTCAAAAATTATGAAAGGAAGAGTTATCATTCTTGTGCACTGCACACCTCCTGAGTGAGATCTATGCACCTATGAAGTTTCATGTTAATATCTCATAGGCTTTTGGAGTTATGCTCTGGACAAAAATCAATTTTGAAAAATAACAAAGGGCAATAACTCAAAAATCATGCAAGGTAGAGTTATCATTCTTGTGCACTGCACTCCTCCTCAATGAGGTCTATCCACCTATGAAGTTTCAAGTTGATAACTCAAATACTTTTAGAGATATGCTCCGGACAAAAATTTCGGACGGAAGGACGGACGGACGGAAGGTCGGACGGACGGACGGACGGAGACTATTACTATATCCTCCGCCGAAAATTTTTGCGGGGGATAATAACATTTCTGGTTATGCTTTCCAAACAAAGTTCAAGATGGCGGCAATAAATTGTGTATTAAACCACATAACGCAACAATAAATAATTAATATATAAACTATTACTGCATGTTGTACAACTTTTTTTAAACAATGATGATAAAATTAAATAAAAAGATAACTTTTTTTCAAGTTTCATGAGATATTGAATATTTTTCCATTCAACATAATATTATTATATAGAGCAACATATTATTTTATTCAACGAGTTCAATAAATTCAGTAATGAACCTACACAAATATAATAATTCTATTTATCACATACACAAAGACTATTTAAAGTGCAAAAGAAATATTTTTTATTGATGCGACTATAGTGTAACGCTAACATTTTGAGCACCTTTACATTAAGTTTGTATAACACAAATGATGTCACATCAAAATATATGCATAGCCGTGCAACACCTTTTTTACGGAGCTGCAAAATCGAACCGTGTATGTAGAATTTCATATTTCACTCTCAAAGAAAAAATCACCTCTTATTATTAACATGGAATATGTTATTAAATGTCTATGAACTTATGAAGAATGTCAACGCCTCTATTAATAATACTCTTAGCCTTGCAGACATGTCTGTGAAGTTCATAAATGTCCAATGCCCTTTAAGAGAGGTATATTGGATATCCATTACATAGTAACATACGAGCAATATCATTCATAATTACCATCACTTCAGATGAAAAATAAGTTATTTATAAAAGTAGGATGATATTGGTTCTTTAAAAAACATGAAGCACAATCAAATAGTATAATGTCTTTTTTTTATTCCTCTTTATTCATTTTATTTCAATTTATTATTTTTTATTTGATTTAAAAAAATTATTTTATTTCATTAATTAATTAATTAATTTATTTACTTTATTATTTTATTTATTTTACTATTATATTTATTTAGTTAGTTATTTATCTATCTATTATTTTATATAGGAAAGTTGCCAATTTGCCAAAGAAGCTATTTTATTTAAGGGCTAATACGAGTTAAATTTTAGGCAAAAAAAAACCACCAAACAAAGCATATGCCAAACCTACAGTTCAAAAACTCATTTTAGAGTATCAGTGGTGGAAATGTTGAGTTCATTGACTTTTTATCAATTACACCTAACCACTGGCACTGTGGGTTCAAATCCTGCCAGTGACGTTAGAATATCTTTTCGGAAGGATAATTTTACTCAGGGACCTCAATGTGCTTGAATTAAAATGCCTCCTCCAACAGTTAAGCGGAAAGGTCCCAACATGACCATAACAGAATAACCTTTAATCTTTACATTGCTGGGATTAAAAGTAATTAAAAGCCTTTTGCCACCAGTATAGGGCCAGGCCAGCATGCACGTCCCCTCTATACTATTTGCTGACCAAATTCAAAATTTTCATCTTGACATCCCCAAAAATGATAATGGACAGTTTTAAAAAATGAAAGCTGGACAAGTAAACTTAAGAAATAATATTAAAACAGGTTAAGGAATAGTAGTGGCCTTCAGATATCTGTACTCTCAGTGCCTGAAAGGGTCGATGGACCCTCATTAAGCACAGAATACACAAAAGTGGCCTTCACGCTTCGACTCATGAATTTTATTTATCATCCTGCATTAGTTAAAATCATACATACATGATGTACAAAATGTATATGGAAATTATACGGATGACTGTTAATAAAGGTAATAAATAAATGTGGTAGCACAGACAGGTGCACTCTACAGGTTACCACAAATATGTTCTTTCATATCAACACCTACATTGTGTATTTATCATTGTTGCAATTTTATTCCTTTCATATCCTGCCCTATCCTCATGCCCCGTTCAATAATATATGAGCCGCGTCATGACAAAACCAACATAGTGCGTTTGCGCCCAGCATGGATCCAGACCAGCCTGCGCATCCGCGCAGTCTGATCAGGATCCATGCTGTTTGCTATTAGTTCCCCCACTTGTAATAGAGTTGGTAAGCGAACAGCATGGATCCTGATCAGACTGCGTGGATGCGCAGGCTGGTCTGGATCCATGCTGGTCGCAAACCCATTATGTTGGTTTTGTCATGACACGGCTCATAATTATACACTATAAATTACTTTACATATCACTGAAATAGACACATTAATTGAACACAGATGGTGACACTCCCCGATACCTATTTATTCGTCACATCAACATTCCGAATCCGTATTCAAAACAAATAAATTTTACTAATATGAACACAAGGGGGAAAGCCAGTTTCCAATTAAGGACTAAATTTTGCAGAAAATTGTGTGTGTGGTTTTTTTTTAATTCATTTATACTGCATGGAAATAATACAAATATAAAACTTCATTTGTCTGTCTGAGATTGGTCTATCGTATCAGCAAACAATTTTATGCACAGATTTATCTTCAAGAGTCAAGGTCACTACAAATGGTAATTTTTCTCCCCTGCTGTATAATTTATTATAAAGACTTGTTTTCATGTTGATTCTGTGGTCACGCCAACTTGCTTCATTGGATGAAATTAAAGGGATATGCCTTAAAGGGACTCCACTGACTGTATATTTGACATGATGGGATTGGAAATAATTTTTCGAGATTAATGTTTCATTAATAAAAAAATTTTGATGTAGGTCTAGACCAATAACTTGTGTACGAAATTTTATATCATTCGTTCACTCCATTTTTCCAGTATAATAATTCTTATTGTATAAAATTACTCAAAATTAAACAATTTTGTTTTTATTTATTTATATTCATTAATTTCAACTTTATTTCTGAGTATATTTTCTTAATTATCCCATGCTTATCTTCCTGTTTTAAGTTAAAAAGGGGCATAACTCAAAAAATAATTATTTCAGAATTATCCCCCTAGTCTAACAACTGCATCATTCTTGTCATGATAAGTTTCATGTTGAAACCTTTTAACGTGTTTGAATAATGGACTACATTAATGTTTCTGCACAACAATAACAAAGACAGTGATCCCACAACCATCATAATACTTTGAGATTTTTCTATGAAACAAATTAGCTAAAAATAATAAAGTAGTACCTTTTTCCACAATGGTACGAGGGCTACAGTACAGTGTAACATAGTTTTCAGAAAGACAGTGATTGGACACGGTATTGCTGCATTGAGATAAGTCGGTCTCGTTACCACGACAATCCAGTCTGACAGCTCCGATGACTTCCTGTGCCAGTCTGCCCAATGCTGAACCTGTAAATAAACGAGTACACACTACACTTGTATAAAATAGTATATTTTCATTCCATTAAATATTTCAAAACGATAACTGAAAATTGGCTTTGAAATCAACAGCAAGAAATATTTGTAAGAAGTCATATCAAAACATAAACGTTATAGATACATCAAAGGTGTAGTAGGGTAAACAATGACAAATGTAATTGTATATACATGTATGGTTCAATCAGGAATTATTCCAAATTCATATAATTTATATAAACCAATCAGACATTTTACCAAGTTCACATATAAACCAATCAGGAATTTTTCCAAGTTCATATATATACCAATCAAACATTTTTCCAAGTTCACATATAACCATTTGGGAATTTTTCCAAATTCATAAATCATCAATTTCAGGAATTTTCTAAGTTCATACAAAAACCAATTCAGGGACATTTCCAAATTCATATTCAACCAAATCCGAATTTTTTCTAAATTCAAATATAAGTTAATTAAAATATATTTTTATTAATTAAATAAATTGTTAAATCTGTCTGACTATTGTAAATAATCAATTATTGATTTACCATCAAGCTCCAAATATTACTGTAAAGAAAACTTCTACAATTAATGTTACATTCCTAAGAACTTGATGAGAATCTTACCAACTGGTGTCTAGTTTGAGTGAAATTATTTGAACAAATTGAGAAATGATTGTCAGATCCACAAAACAATAAATCTAGTGCACTTCTGGTACAAGATTTTGTTTGAAGGTTGCATATTTTAACACATATTAAGCATTTTTAACTCTCACAACACTATATGGACTTGACCATCCTTCAGTTTGGACAAAAGTTGAAGCCATTTAACATTTAGTAAGGAAAAAAATTTTAAAATATGTCTTAACTAAGTAAGCGGACAGCCCTGACCATGATCAGATTGTATGGAAGTGCCGACTGATCTTCAACTTGGTCTGCACTGGTCACATGGTTAGGATTTATAGAGGCTTAGAGTTAATACTGACACTAATAAATTTAAGTAATGAACATGTTCTACTGTAAATCTGGAACTGTCCATTGTCAAATAAAAGGGGTTTTTTTTCTTGTTTGTTTTTTGTTGTTTTTTTATTAAAAAAAAGATTCCAATTTCATAGTTCTAATTTTAAGGTAACTACAGTTTAGTTTGGTCAGACTCAAGGTGTTGGATGGACTGGTGACTGGTTCCAAACAAATGCATAATCATTAACATTGAAACCATGCTTAATAGGATCAATGACTTTATTGCACTCTCAAACTTTATTATACAGTGTAGATCTAAATTTACTATGCAAATCACTTACAAGTATGGTACATACATGTTATATGTAAATCACTTACATGTACAAGTATGGTACAACAAAAACAATCCTGATGGATGAAGTTTTGACAGTAAGTTGACACCTTTTTTTTATTAGATTTTACATTGCACCAATTCTGAAAAGGTCATATGGCAACTTTCCAGCTTTACTGGTGGATGCCCCTCTGTACATTATTTTAGGAGCAGCTCGATCCTAGTGGCAAAAGGCAACAACCTTAACCACATGGCCTTAGAGGCCCCTATAATACAATGTACATTGTACATGTAGATCTACATATAATAAGTAAAGCACATGTATCGTTATGGTAAAAAAGAATTTAGCTTCAAGTTCTGTTCCTATTTTCTTCTCTGTGCTTAATATAATGGTGAAATCCTACTACCGTAATTCTATTTCCTATAAAATCAAGGAAGTATTCAAGAACACTAACCAGGTTGAAATCTTCCGTCAACAAAGTTGAGCTGTCGACAGGCCACAACTGCCGCTGCATTGTCATCGAAATTATCATCGCAGACCGCTGTCCATGTTCCATCTATTGACACTTCCAGTATTCCATAATTATTCTTCTTGTTCGAGTTGGTCAACCGTACTGTAAATAAGCAAAATAACTTTCAACAATGATCTAAATTGACCTAAATGTATTCAGACTAAGTTTAGTTTGGTTATTTTTAATACAAATATAACATAATTTGATCCGATGCACTGTTATCAACTTAAATTTTATTAACTGAACAAGGCTGCAAACCTATATATATCTAAGTTTAACTGTCAAATTCTGCTAAAGCCTGTGCATGAGGGCATGGACGGCACTACTGTCCAAGACCACTTTAGCAGGCTCAATGAAACTGAGCCTGCAACATTTTCAATTTTTCTGTTTTGTGCTTTCTTGGGCGATTATGTTTTTTCTTTTTCTCTTCTTACTTGCATAACACATTTGTTTATTTTTATAATACATTTTTTTTTTGTATTGCACGTTTGTAACATAGCTTTTTTTTTTTTTTTTTTTATAATCAAGATGCTTATATAAAGTTAATAAACTCTATATCCAGCTGCGCCTGTTTATGAATAATTGCAATTTTATATCTAAAATAGGAAATTGACAGTATAATAAACTTATTAATAAAGTTTATAAATTTATAAATAAAGTTTCTTGACAGGTAATTTGGTTGTACATTTTCTGATTACTTGTAATATAACCCAAGCCATATAATTATACAAACAACTGTTTATATAGGACCATATAACATATCAAAAATCTTTGTAACTAATAATATAAACAAGAACTGTCGGAGGACAGTAACGCTTGACTACTCGTATAATAATGCTAACCTATATGAATACGTAAATTGTCCGAAAAGGTACCAATGCTTGTTATTAAGATGTTTTATCGAGTTAATCACTGCTTTATTATCATGAAAGCATAGAACTGTTCAAAAAAAGGCACAAACCCTTCAGTAGTTATGGAGATAACAGCTTACAAGCAAAAAATTTACCTTGAATTTCTCAGCCCAAAAAGGGGCATAATTATGCCAAAAAAATCAGAGTTATGGGACTTGTGTCAATCATGTTAAATAATCACAGAGAACAAGTGTGTGAAGTTTCAATACATTCACTTCAGTAGTAATGGAGAAACCAGCTTACACGCAAAAACATAACCACAGTGACGCCGACAAATGGGTGACTGAGTGAGTCTGAATATTCTGCGAATAGTAAAGCTAAAAACTATATTCAAAAGGATTTCTTATAGTGTAAAACACAGTTGAAAATGTGGATTTATTTTTTTTAAACTACATTAAAATTCATTTCTAAATTATGCATGTATCTGTTCATTTGCAACTAAATTGCACTTTTCATTTACCAGAAACAATACTCAGCCTTTAATGTTATCTAAATTAAAGCAGCATGACATCAGATTCATGCTAATTTTCATGAAAATTAAAAAAAAAATGTACTTAGAAGGTAAATATTGTCAAGTCAACAAGGATATTAATTTACACATTACAAACAGTGCTTACAAATCACGTAAATTACCAACAAGAGGTCAAATTATGCAAACGTAACCCTTACTTAGTGTTACTCACGCAGTAGAAATATGGTGAAAAATACTGCAAAATCAGATTAAAATAAGTCACACATATAAACATAAAAATTGTTACTTAAATCTCTTTCCTTAAAACCTTAGTACAATTTACTCAAGTTTGATTTTCTTGGAATATTTTAGCTAATATTTAGCTAATCTGGAGTTATGCAGCTTTAAAAGGTGGCATTCAATAATTCATGAAATGTAAAATCTATTAACAAACACAATTTATTCAAAAACTTCAAAAGCAGGTTTTAAAATTCTATGTGTTTTTTTTTTAATTATCATTGGGTACGTAAGCAATGTCAAAAATATTGATCCAAATATATCAAATTATCTGCACAGTTTATGCTATCTCATTACTTTACTTTTTTTTTTTAAAGGGACTTCACTGAGGTTTTTTGACGTGTAGGGACTGGGAACATTTTCCCAAGATTTGTGTACAATTTGATGAAGGTCTGGGCTAATAACTTGTGTGCAAATTTTCAGTTTATTCCCTCATTCGGTTTTTCCAGAATAATCATTTTTATTCTGCAAAATGACCAGAAAATGAAAAGCGTTGCAATGCTTTTCACTCAAATCCTGGCTAAGAATAGCACAGAAAATTGATTTTCAATTCAATTCTTAGTATATTTCTTTGTTATCCTTGCAGGGTTTACCATTTTAAGTGTTCCACTTGATATTTTTAAGATTTTCAAATTTTATGTTTTTAGGCCTTTGGACCTCAGTGGAGTTCCTTTAATATACTTTATTCTGATTTTTCAATTTACATGTATACTTAGTCTTTAATTATTTTTATTTTTTTTTTGTGTCATTGGGCTGATATTTTTTATCATTCGTTTTTCTTGGTGCGGTTTGGGGGTGGAGAGAGTGGGATGAAGTTAGTAGCATTATTCATGTTTGACCATGAACTTTACTGTCAGTATCCCAAAATGCAATTCTAGTTAGTCAACCATTCAGGCTCAACAATCAAGTATCATTTGAAAATGTATCCAAAACAATTTTACCTTTACTTTTAAATTATTTTAAATTTTAAGGCTTCGTCAAAATAGTGAAGTATGTAATTATTCTTTTACAAGGTTAATTTTATAACCTTTCGTTAGAAAGGTCACCTTTAAAACAGACAATAATACTATAAGCGCACTACATGTAAGCAACCATAAAAATAAATATCATGTAACCATTTCATGTTTGTCCCATAAATTCAGAGGTTTGTTTTGACAACTTTTGTTATTGGAGATTCCAGCAAATTAATCGATTCCAATAAAGGCTTCCTTGTATAACCCTTACCACTTCCATGTAACAGAAATTGCGTGCATATTTAAGGTTTCAAAAAGTGACAAATGTGAAACAAATACAATTATATTCATGAGATTACAGTCTGGTTCATTTTTATTTGTTTGTTTTGTTTGTTTGTGTGTATATGAGGTTATTGCATCAGCTCTTATATTTATAACCCGCAGGGGTTTTTCCCCCAAGATTTTGGGAAAATGACCCATACCCATGGGATTGAGAATTTCAGTAATGTTTTGTTAAAAATGCATGCCTTGAATTTTACAGTGATTAAATGAATGCAAATAATCACTGTCTAGGATGGCATTTTCAAACATTTAAGACAGGGTTCCGTCTGGGTTGAAATTAGTTTGTGCCACCAAATTCGCCAATCAGAAAAAGTTGGAGCCAATGGCTCCAAAGTTGGAGTACCATAACAGTGAAGAAGCCCTTATTTTTTAAGATTTAAGACTTTGTTATTCCATATTTCTATTTCATAAATTTCAATTTGGAATTTTTTCCTGTGGATTCAGGGAAAATAATATACTATTTTAATTTGATTAATTACATGTATACTCCTTTGATATTTCACTCATTATCACATACAGTACATTTAATATAAAATGCAATATGAAATGCAAGATAACCACTTTCTGTGACTCAGTGCTAGGTGCAATTAAATGTAACAAAATGACAATACTTGTACTTGTCTTATTTTATTTATTGTTCCTTAAATTGGCAATTTTCTTCTTGAAATGGGAGAAAAAAACATACTTTTCCAAATTTTGGCATTAGGAACATGGCCCCAATATCGGTCATCAAAATGGGCCAGAAAAATAATCAAACTGGCTTGATTGTCTATTTATCTGTTGTCACCTGGTCAGTTAATCTATCTATTCTCTATGCCAGGAGCCAAACAACAAGCATGCATTACGACTTCATACACATCGAAAATTTGTGTCTTTATTTTCACGATATTTCGCCCCACGGCAGAAACCCATGGTGGAAATGTTATCAGTCTGAACCGAATAGCTTCAAATAGAATAAATAAATAATACAAATTTAGATATCTAGATAAGAAAAATATCTTTATCATGAGGTCATATATCTAAAAACAGAATTCGAAATTTCATGTTCATTTTTTTTTAACAAATGACAAAAATGGCTATCAGTAAGTTCCTAAGACCTACGCACCATAAAATAATTAAAATTTTAAATCAAAATGGCAAAAAAGGCAGTGATTTTTCACCTTATATAACAGCTAGAGGTCTATAAAAAGTCTCTTGAACCCAATTGAAATTATCTTTAAAATCATGGAGTTTTCCCAAAAATCTAAACTTACACTACTCAGCTTTTTTACTTCACAAATTAGCAATTTTAGAGATACTTTTTCAAAATCAATAAACTATTTAAAGGCCTATTCTCAATTATGTGAGAAAAAACACTGAAAGGCCCCACATGGCTTATGTGTAACCTTCAGTAATGAAAAATTCCTGAAATGCGATAATTTTAGCCTAAATTGCTACAAAGCATACATTTTGCAGGGATTATCCCCTGGGGGGGGGGGGGGGCAGGGAGTCCATAGTAGTTCTTAAGAGAGGTGCCCATATTGAAACTTAATTTACACAACTGATATCAATAAAACTTGTCATAAACGTTCATACTTTTCAATACTTGGTTTCTATTTCAAAGACAGTCATCTTAAAGATAACCTGTAGAGGTTATAAACTGGGTATCTTGTTGAATAGAAAATCTGCCTTAATTATACTGAAGATCAAATTTTAATTATACCAAAAGTCACAAAATTACCATAAAGGAATTAAAATTCTAAAAATTGTTTTGCAAGTTTTGTGGGAGTCTTGTTGCAAAATAGCAATCCTGGGACCAAAACCTGGATAACGACAAACCCTGCATTTATGGCACATGTATTTTTTTCGTGCTTAGTTTTAAATAAACTTTTTCATCAAAATTTTTGATACAGCTACAGTTTTTATTTTGATTATATAACCCGAATATAACCAGAAGCCGTTAAGTTTTATGTCAATGTACTTTAGGTATTCAAGACCTATCCTGATTCACCGGATGAGTTCATTCACAGTCAACATCTACATCTAGTTTGCATAAAATTTAATGAGGTCTTTATTTTCTTATACTACGAATAAACAGAATACGGAATAAACATGTTTGCAACCCTATTTGAGAATATAAAATGGCAAACAAACAAAGGTGTCAGGCATTGTTTGTGAATTCATAAAGCATTAAGTATTGTCTTTCTTAAATATTTTCATGTGATGTTACCATGTATGCTTAATTTGAGTGTTACTGTAAAAGAGTTACCAGGTACTTTGTAACTACTTAGTTCTTTGACAATTTAAAGGGATTGCAATATCATATATACATACATGTACATTATTAATAATGCCAGGGCTTTTTTTCACAGGCTAGTGAAGCAGCCCTTACCCTAATTTTTGGGGGAAATAATATGGTATTTTTGAAGGGGAAGGAAAAATTTGATTGAATTTGATGTCAATTCAATTTTTGGGGAAAACTGCATGATTTTAAAGATTTTTTCTTTGGGGAAGCCACCCTTAAACGGCCCCTGCTATAAAAGGGATAAAAAGCCCTGAATGTGAAAAATCAGTTTACAGCAGCCTGAGTCTGACAGCATATATGTGCAACTTCGCCTCTATACTGGTCACATATATATGCACATTTCTGTAAAATGGGACAGAAATAATGGGGTATCATTAAGGATGGTAATTTATCTCAGATCTTTTTCTTGAGACCCTTAACAATGACAGAATTAGAGGGGAAAACGCTTGTCATAGAGCACAATTTTTAGAATAAGGGTTTCTAGTCTGTGTACTTAATAAACAACCCTCCTCCTACAGACTGTGTTATAAATATGACTTTATGTGGCTGTGTTATAAATATGACTTTATGTGACTTTGTTACATGACTTTATATGACTTACTGTGTTATATATGACTATGTGACTATGTTATATGACTTTATGTGACTGATTGTGTTATATGACTTTATGTGACTGATTGTGTTATATGACTTTATGTGACTGATTGTGTTATATGACTTTATGCAGAGCTCCAGATAATTTTTTTGGCCAAGGGGTTTTTACCCCTCAAAATTTAGAGTGAGGGGTAAAATGCAAATTCTGAAAAACTTAAGGGGTAAAATCTGTCAAAAAAGCATTTTGCATTTTTTATAAACAAATTAAACTTATTGTTTTGTTTGTTTGTTTATTTTCTTTTTTTTTTTAGAAAAACCTGTACAAATTAAATACTGATTTAATGTGAAACAATACAAAACATGCCATGTAAAGTCAGACTTCCAGAGTATACTGGAACTCAAGTTTAGGATACACAGCAAAATTATCAGGGCTTCCATTTTCAAAATTTGGACGTCAAAGACTTCAAAATCTCTGATATTGGAAGTCACATTTTATAGGTAAAGAAGGGAAAGTATTGATTTTCAGAAGTCAAGGAGTAAATAACTCCCAAACTTCCACTAGTGGAAGCCCTGAAATTATTTTATTTTCTAGGAGTCAATATTTTTCTTTCTTTATTTCTGTTTGCGTGAACCTTATCATGTACTCCATTTTGAACAATTATAGTTGAAATTAGAATTAAAGAAACATAAACGAGATTTTTTATATCTTTCCTTAAAAAAAATATTGGTCTGAGAGAAAATTGTCCATAACTGTAGACTGGGTACGAAAATATTGAGTACAAAACTGCATGTGAAAAACATGTTATTTTGTTCCAACAACAAAAGTAAAAGATATTAAAATATATTTTTGTTTATATTGAAGCATAAGCATGTCAATAGATGACTAAACAAACTTAATACTGTGTTAGCTCCTACGAAGATTATCTGGCACAAAGTTCATCGATAATTTCACAGGTTGATCTACGGGAGTTACCTCCCTTCTGTATTTCCTGCTACTTTCGTTTTTAACATGCGTTGTTGACAACAAAATTTTTAGTTTTCAATGCAATAAAATGGAAATATATGGTATTTTTATGCTCAAAACATTTTCTTTCTACATATCAAATGTTTACATTTCTATTCTTTTTCACGCATAAATTTTGACATACGAGCGTATTTTCATTTTGTTGTGCGTAACTGTGACGCACGAATTTTGAAAGTGATGCGTGTTTTAGATTTTCTATGCGTATTTTACGCTTATACGCACGCTATCTGGAGCTCTGCTTTATGTGAATGATTGTGTTATATGACTTTATGTGAATGATTGTGTTATATGACTTTGTGTGACTGATTGTGTTATATGACTTTATGTGACTGATTGTGTTATATGACTTTATGTGAATGATTGTGTTATATGACTGACTGTATTATATGACTTTATATGACTAACTGTGTTATATGACTTTATGTGACTAACTGTATTATATGTTGCCTCAAATTATATGATACAAAATAAAGGGATTCTGTCCCCTCAAATTTCCTTTATAATTATACAATATACTTGTATATCTATACAGTACACAGATATGACTGTCATTGATAGAATTGTATCGATATATCAGAGACAAATATTGAGGAAATATCAATATAATACTTTAATGATGTATCGACTTTGACAGTAGATACAATTCAAACGTTTAAATATGTGTTATAAATTGAGATCATGGTGTCATGCATGCTTGTTTTAAACATTACAAATACTACAAACAAACAGAAAGTTTGTTTTTTTTCTGTTATTTTTGTCACTGGCATTTGAAACGGAGTTTGAAGTTCAAGTTACAAAAAGTGACTTCTCTTATTAGACAAAATAGTGAGGCAGATCTATATTCCCTAACAGAAATAACATTTTTTTAGCTTGTATCATTGTTGAAAGTGTGTATCAAAATTGTATTAGATGATAATGCAATATTCAATGACAGCCCTAAACACAGATACCTAAAACCAAAAGTGACTCGATGCGTTGTGTATATGGTAATGGTAAATCATCTTGGATTAGTCATCAATGATATTGGCAGAAAAAACATGTGTTTCATGCTAGTTCTTTGCACTTTTTTATTAAATAGATCTATATACCAATATCTTCAATGTTATCTTTAGAATAGACTAAATTTAGAATTAAGAATATTTTGTTTTTTCCCAGCGAAGTACAAACAAACTTTCAAAGTTACAGCTTCAAAAATAAGTGCAACAAGTTGACTGATCTATTGTGAACAGTAGTGCACTGTAAAGTTACAACACTAAAAGATTATTTATATATCAAGGGATCAGCTTTGAAAAACCCATATTTGTTAAAGTTCCAGAATACAACAATTGCACGAGAATCTGAGGCTGGTACCCAAAATTACTCACCATCAGTGACCCGTGCATCATTGAAAGACCCCAGTGCTGGTTCTTCTGAGGTAACAATGGCTATCACAGGCACGAAATAAAGTAAAACTGTAACAAAATAACTCAAAGTCTGCATAATATCTGTTTACACTACATCTTAAACATTTAAACGTTGTTAATCGTCTTATGTCGCAGTAACCTGTGGCGAATATATTTGTTTTGGTCTAGCAATGGCGGCTGTTTATCAATGAACGATTCGGAATGTAATTCCAAGGTTTTCGACATGGTCTTCTTTCAAATAATCACGATACTGATCCACAATCACGTGTAACAACTATGTTAACGTATAAACAATACAAGTTATTTCTTAAAACACTATTTATTCGCTGAAAACAGGCATTATTGCACTGACTTCCTGTGTATTAAATAAGGCATCCATTTTCAAACAGCCTTGAACCTTGGTAATAAAATGTCACCCGCATATACACAATATTAACTTTCTAATTTGAATTAAAGAACGAGAGACAACAATACTCCATGATTTTCGTTAATACACCTGATTCCTACGGTAAAATATGTGTACATTATGTCAATTAAAATTACACATGTGTATTCCAAGAGTTTAGCACATAGAGAAACACAAACGTAAACAACCTCTCGCGTTGATTGGTCAATAGATCGCACAAGTTATAGTCTGTTTCAAATACAGAAAAATCGGTGACTGCACTTGTCTCGAAAATGGCGGACCTTGAAATTCGTGTTACAGAAACAGGACGTGTAGGGAGGCATAAGCTAATAATAGATTATTTTTGTTGAATTTAGCATCAGCGTTAAAGGCTTCTTCCGGCTAGGTAAACCGATTACTTTGGCAAATTGTTTTGCAATAGAAAAGAATAAACTGATACGTAAATTGTAATTAATTTAATCGTTAACTTGTATGAAATTGAGCTTTTGATAGTAGGTAGCTACCTCAACGTTATCTTAATGAGTCACAGTGAGTGCATTATGAGGTGCAAATTTTTCGTGCTCGGGTAAAAAAAGTTAAGATGTTTCAAGGAAATGAAAAGCTTGCGTTGTTGTAGTTTACATAATCATATAAAATGCCTACCATCTTTAAAGCAAAAAAAAATGTTATTTAAAGTTAAACACAGATTTATATTATTTGCTTCAGAAAAATAGATCTATACAACCATTTTTTCTAAACATATTTTAACAAAAAAAATATTTAAAGGATGCTCTAGATGTTTATCATGCGAAAGAGTAACGCTGAATAGAATCCTGCACTAAATGCAAAATGTTAGGCATTTAGTCATACAGTACTCGCAAATATTAATTAAATCTATGACCAATGAAACTGTAGCATAACACTAAAATATTAAGTTTTTGAGAATTAAAAAAAATATATAAATAGATAAAAAGTAGACATGTAATCTTTGTTGGATATTTAAATTCTTCATCAATAGTTATATAAATAACAAACAAAAATGAAAAAAAAAAAACAGAATCAAATATAATTAAATATAATTAATCAAAATAAAAGATAAGAAAAAAAATAAATAAAAAGATTTAGGTCTAGATCTAGCTGAAATCGCAAAATCGGCTTCATTGAGCCTGATAAAAAAGCGCAATTTGTTACGTTACACTGCATCCAATCCTTCAGCCCTTGAAAGATTTGCAACTCCCTTCTGAACATTGAACAAACATTTGTTTCAAGAGTGTCTTTACAAATATATTTATCCATTTTAATTTGCACTAAAAACCACGAAGAATTATTATGGTCGGAAATGACGAAATATGCCTTTTTGATGGTCATTAACAATTGCATAATTTACCCGTGAAACTAGTGGTAAAATTAGAAAAAAAATCTCAAATTTATTTCTAAATGTGTCACTTCATGTCTTTTCTGCAATTATATCCAGCAATCCTTAAAATAGAGCACAACTCCAAAACCAAATTCCACCAATAAATATGATGATAATAATAATAATAACAACAACCAAATCCCACCACCACTACTACCACCACCACTACAACTACCACTATTACTGCACTTTAGAGTCTCTCACCCCTCGGTACGTGCACCTCATGAAGATACAGATGATTGAAGATAGATTGGTGTTGGTAGTTTACCCTCCAGATCACGGCAGTGAACCACATTGAATTTACCAGAGAACAAATCACTTCCACTGCATCGTTCCTGGGTAGGCTGTCAAGCAGTTTACCAGCGGTACGTTACGATACCGAAATCAACTTTTCATTACCGAAATCAACTTATAAAATCAAAATTAAGCGTTTTATTATATTTTTTTCATTATAATTTATTGCAATGGGTTTAGTTTGACTTTCATGCAAAAAATCAGCTCAAAATAATTTATAATTATGAAATTAGAAACAAAAATCTAAACATCAAGATTACTTCCCTGATTTGTCACAACCGAAATATATGTTTCCATACCGAAATCGGCTTGTAAAAGTTAAAATAAACATTTTAATTGATCTTTTTTAATTAATCAATATAAAATAATTCAAACTGAACCTTAAACAAAGGAAAATAATATATAATTATAAAAAACGATGATGTTATAGACGAATATGTACTAGTATATTATATCATGATTACTTGGCTCATTTTAAAGGTTGCTATTTTTAAGGAAGATGGCCTTACTTAAATGATTGCAGAATTATTTTCACACAGCTTTCAAATTTCACAGGAACAAGTTTATCAAAAGAAAACATTAACTGTTAAAATGTTAAAACTTTGATCGAGCTTTCCCGAGTAGACCAACACTAACAGTTACAGTAAGACACTTGGTAATCGGCGAGGCGCTCCGAATGGAAGAGAGACACAGGCAAAATTTTCATTTCTTCGTTTTGAATTTTTCATTCATTATTCCGTAGATGTCATAAGACAGTCACAGGAACAAAACTTTTCTCCTTATAGGGAATAAAATAGTGGTTTCCTCACCTGACCCGCGTGGGTTAAGATTTCAAAAAAAAGTTGTCACAGTGAACTCTAATTATTTCGCGTTTTTGTTGTTGTTGTTGATGTTGTTGTTGTTTATCAACATAATTATTTGTGGAATCACTGCCTTTCCATTTATGGACTAATTCACTTTTAAAACATTATCTTAGAAAGTTTTCTGTTGAACAAATCACTACCATTGATTGACTGATTTTGTTGTTGTAGTTAGTACTTTTATGTACACATGCGGGAACTTCCTTTTTACATATCAAATTGAAAATATACTTCGGAAACGGCAATAATCTGGAAAAAAGACCGATTTCAAATGATTTTATTAATGAGCAAGTAAAATATTTCACAGATTAAAAACGTTTCTTATTGTTTTATATGATTTACTACGTAAAAATGTTATGTCATTTCAAAGCAGTATATACGTACAAATCAAATTAAAGTCTAATTCTGAAATAATTGCATGTTCTTTTCCCAGACTAATTGATGCCGTACATTTACGTCTATACAACAAAATGTGTGGGATTTTTAATTTGATATTATTTCTTCGATAATTGTGTTTACATCTCAGAAACAAATATATCAAGGAAACGACTCATTATTACGCACGGTTAATTTTGTAATTCATGTAACAGTACACCTAAATCATCTTATTTTTATGGGAAAAAATAAAATAGAAACCTCTTTAGATGTTATTTCAGGCAATCTTAGACCGCAGAAATATCACAAATGGAAAATAAAATTCTGCAATCGGAACGTGCTCGGCTATTATTCATAATCCTTATTTGAAGGCAATCGCAACTTTTGGGCCCTTTAAGGACTTTTTAAAGTACTTACTGATAATAGCCGAAAATGTTTCGATTGATCCAAAGGACGGAAAGGGCCGAAAAGTTGCGATTGATAAATTCTGCTGAAAAAACAAATGACGTCACTGGATTTATTTGAGAAACAATTTACTTTAAGGTAGAACGCGACACTTTGCGAACTTTCGAGTAGCGTCTTGAAAATCGGCATGCAAAAAATTGACCATATTTCTGATTGGATTTCGTTGATTTTATTTAAATAGTTTTAGCCAATTTTTGTACACACGACGTCAAAGTTGACCATGAAAGCCCGTTTTTGAACATGACGTCGTTGCGTATCCTTGGCAACTGTTACGGTATTTCAACGCCATTGGCGGCCAAAATATCTTAAATCCTACAGCATTCGACGGAAATTTATTTTTCCTTTCAAGCAGATATAAAATGTATTGCTTTAACGCCGAAAATTGTTTGAGTAATGGAAAGAAAATTGTCAATTTTGTGTAAAATTTGACGTTCAGTTTAGCCGCATTTTTAGGCTTAAAATCGGCTTATTAAAAAATTCCTGAAATAAATTTTTGATTTTTTTCTTTAAACGTCCTTTAAAATGTATACTTAGTCAAAATAACTAAAAAAATTAGGGGGTCACCGACTAAATTTTTTCGGTACACGTGATTTTATTTCCCCCACCCCTTTGGATAAAAGTCACGCTATAACGGGGCGTTTGGTTTTTTGATGTTATTAAAACGATCGCACTGTGTCAAAATCCCCTTTTTACGGCATTTTAAGCTATTATTACCACTGCGGAAAATATATGGATACAATAAAGGGTACGGAATTCCGTATAGTATAGATAGACAGGTAAAAATAAGTGAAATTTGATGTACGGGACAGTATATCATGCAATACGTATATGACTAATATACCGTGATCCGTACACTCGTAATATGCGGGATCTTTGAATGAAGTCCGTATTTACTAAAATGCGTATTTTTTTAAATTACACGGTCAGATATTAACAAAAAATGATATTTTATTCTTGTAAATACAGATTTTGTATATAAAACAAAGAATAAAGATGTACTTCAGTATTACCCACTTTCTACAAGAGGAAAGAAATAATAGTCTGATCTGACATTTGTCAGAATAACATTAAATAGTAAAACTTTGAGTAAAATGTAATATTTCTCGGTTTTATTAACATGTCAGTATAGTTAGTGAAACATCGGCAGATCCTCTACAGTGCCCGTAGCAAAAACGCAACACTCCTTTGTGCAGTATATAGCTCAGGGCCGCCGGTTCGCTAAAATCCGCAGACGTGTATTTACAGCGTTTCATTATATTTCATGTTTAAAGTACTGTTTCCTGTTCAAAATAAATTCTACCATAAATTTGGCTATACAGTGAATAATGAATATTTGCAAAGGCCGATTTGATAGTAATGTGTTTAATACAGCGTTTATGGTGATTCCTCAATTAAAATAATAAGCAAAACGAGAGAATATGTATTACAGATGTTTGAATATGTATAACAGATGTTTATTTACTTGTAGAATCTGACGTGCTACATCTGGCTGTAAAATACAGAAAATCAGAATCCCTAAAGAAATTCCAACACAACATAATTGAAAATGTTGCAGGCTCGGTTTGATTGAGCCTGTTCATGGACGGTACTGAAAAGTGCATATTACCGCCCACGCACCCTAGCACCAACACCCGCTGAGCTAACGTTTCAAGCATGACTGTTTGCTTCACGCTAATATAATTGACTAAGTTTCATTTATGAACCGTATATTTTAATTTGTCAATATTTCGCCAATTCTGTCAAATTGTTGCAATAGTTTTTGATTACAAGTGAAATTCAAATTTTGGTTTTTAATAGGTGAAATAAAATACAT